TTCAATCATTTCTACCCATACTAGTACTTTGCCTGCCTTAAGCAAATCAGAATGTAGGAGTTAATACCACATGAGGCCGAAAATAAAAATATGTTTGTTTCCCCTTCCCGACCCACTAAAATTAGGGTTGGGAAGGTAGGTAGGAAAATTTATTTTTTTACATGACATATAATGTGCATAATGATAAATAATCTGCATATATGTATAATGAACTATTAAAATTAATTTATTAAGTGCAATAGTATATGTACATGCAATACCATATTCACAACTGACATATGCAACAGTTTAACTATGACAGCTGTCTAAAATATCATATTAGATTGTACCTATTGTACTCTGAAAGAAAAAATACTTTCATCCCCTCAGATCCTGAAAAAATATTTTGGGTAGGGGCAAATTTGATGGGTAGGTAGAGAAGGGGAAAGAAATTAAATTTTATTTTAGGCCTGATAACAAAGTAGACAACAAAAACCCTCAAAAAGGGACTCATATGTGTATGCTCCTACAATGTATGGAATATTTCTCTTAAATGAAAAAACGTACATGTAAGCTCTGGAAGAAGTCTGTTTCACTAAAAAATACTTTTCGAATACCTGGTTAAATGGCGATTCCTAGCATTTTAGTAAACCACTAAGTGACTAACATTCTGCAAACAGGCACCAGAGTCTTTTAACAGTAAATCAGAAAGGAAGTGGCTAGCCGTACGGGCCCGTACGGCTAGCCAAAAGTTTTAGCTGACTCACCTACGACTAGCCAGGACTCACTGTATTGTCTAGCCGTATGGCATTTTTCAAAATTATATGGAAGTCGAACATGCATAATCATAATGTTATTTTGTGCCTCATGATTATGATTTGTTGTTTTATTTGTATGAAAGATGAATTTTTGTTAATTAAGCACATGGATCGAATAAATAATGATCGGAGTGGGATAAATAAAAAGAACATTGAAAAAAAACGGTGAAAAGCAAAAAGAATTGTATAATTTTCAAATACAGTAGATAAATATCGAACATAAAAGCACAATCAATTAATTAGCCTTAATTAAAGCCAGGGTCTTTCAAATAGAATATTTGAAAGACCCTGTTAAAGCCTACCAAGGGACTGACAATAGAATTCTAAAATGCGTTTCAAGGAACATGCAAACTTTCCTTAATGATGGACAAACTTCTATAGCGTCTGTAATTGACGCAATAATCAGAGCCCAACAACAATAATTTTCGTTTTTTTGTTTTATTTTAAAGGTGTTGAAAATTAAACTTAATGAAACAAAAAAGGACTATTATCAAAATTATTTAATTTGTGTTATTTAACTGCGACCAAACACTATTGAGATGACAAAGATCGATATTCATACTTTATTTTTACTGTAGCCAACAAACAATTAATCTCTAAAAAGTAACCATACAAAGACAATTGCTATTTCTTGGTTAAAATACTCCCTCTGTTATAAAATAACATATGCATTTTCGACTTCCATAATTTTGAAAATGCCGTACAGCTAGCCAATACAGTGAGTACTTGCTAGTCGTACGTGACTCACATACGGCTAGAACTTTTGGCTAGCCGTAAGGCCGGGGCTAGCCACTTCCAATCATAAAATGAACCCATGATCTGATGATAACATGTATCTATACGGATGTTCCTGAAAAGTAATGTTGACAATGTTTCTGTCAGTTTCTGTTACACGGGTATTATTTGATACATCCTATAATTATTTACGGACACTGGTGCCACTAAGTGAATGAATCATTCAAATTTATGATCTCTGCATATTTTACGAAAAATCTTCACTTGGATGAATTTTCAACTTCCAAAAGAAGACAGCATACTAACTTATTTGCAAACTATAGAGAAATATTAAAATATAAAAAATGTCCATAACTTTTAGTGCAAAGATAGTTTCATAAAACAAGAAATATACTGTAACAGTGTACTTACAAATTAAGGGATTAACGCAACTTTCATTCGCTCTAAAGTAACTTCCCTTGACTTTTTTCTTATTTAAACCCCGTGTCGTACCGTACTTTTTATTGATGTGTATAACACCACTAAATATATTCCTTCTCTTTATTTCTAAAAAGAACGCGCGCGCGGTGTGCGTGTCCTCCAGGATCGAAGTAGAACGATTTGATTAACCATTTATATGTATAAAAAGCTGTTTTAAATATATATTTTTTGCGTATATTTTACAGATAACGGTTCATAATCACTATAATATGCAAGTTAGCGACTCTAAGCATATTAATGCCTGTTACACCTAAGTTACTTTTTTATAGCTTTACTATTTATAAAGCTTTAACCAGATTTTGAAAATTATAGACTCCACTTGAGGTTTTGCCCTTTCTTTCTTTTTGGACGGAAATATCTTTTCCAGATTTTTGTACTAGACTATTTGATGTTGGTCTGAATCAACAAATAGATTTCTAGTATGCAAAATTCCAGATCATCCTTTTTTCTTTTCTTTAAAAAAAACACAACAAAAACTTATTCTTATTTCTAATTGTGCAGAAAAAAAGAAACAAGAATGAAAAGCTTTCAACTCAAATTGGACTGACGATCGAACAAAAGTCGGATTTTAACTTAAATCTGAGTATACTCTTTCTCAATTTCCGTTTAAGTGTCTTAAGTAGTCAATCTTTTAAGAATATAAATTTTGGCTTTTGGACCACAGTTTTTTCTGTTATTTTTTTCTTAAAAGGAATACTACTTTACTACAAATATATATTTTATGGAAAAAATATAGCCACTCCAAAACTTTTCTATTTTTACCCGCTTAAGACTTTCCGACACCTTGAATTAATCGCCATTGATCTGATCTACATTTGATATATTTCTGCGTATGCACGCGAAAAGATTTTAAAATAATTTTAAACATTACTCATTTAAAGTATGAATATTAATCACTCAACACTACTCACCAACGTCGTTAAAATCATATCCTAACTGACGCTCCACTACCTTTTGCTAGGTAGGAGCGAAAACGCTGATCTGATTTTAATGGGATTTTAATGAGATTGACTACTGTTAATATGAACATTACTCACTGGACACTACTAACAATTTGAAAGCTACTCATTAAACACTATACCGACAATATGAAGTTATGAACATTACTCGTTAAACACTTTTGACAATATGAATATCTCATTGAACTCTACTCACAATATGAACGTCACTAATTGAACACTTTGAGCATATATGTTTAATTTTTTTAAAAGTTAAAAAGGACCATGTAGTCTTTTATCCAAAATATAATATAATATAATTAAACAACATTGATAATCATAGTTTAATTTGTCATCACATTCGCTCCTTTTAAAGATGAACAATTACCATTTAAGTGACTGTTTTTACTGCTGTTAAAATAAAAAAAAATCGGATCAATTTAGCAGCAGTTATCTAACGAATACATGACATATTACCAGAATTACGTCGTCGTTAGTGTAACATTATTCTTATGTGCATCTTTGGTTCAAATATATTGTTCCATGTCAAGAGATTTACTCTGGAATAAGAATATTTTTGATTTTCCGAGCTATTCTAGGGCTACTATCTTAATTTTAAAGTTAAAACTTGGGTTGAGTAATCGGTAGTTCACCGTGAAGCTTTGACGGTAATTTTTTTGCGTGCTGGTAGATTAGCTATTAAAACCCAACATTTGTCTACCTTCAGATAACATCTCTTGTTCTCCAACGCTGCTTCAAGCAAGTTATATCGAAAACTCCATAAGTCTATCCATAAGCAAAGAACATGAAAGTAAGTAAATTTATACTCTTAAACTTGCTAATCCGTGACTTTTTTTCATTTTCATCCATAAAAAGTGTAGATTTCATGTACGCTCTATACATAAGGTGAAAAAGTGAAACAAATCCTATCATTTTCTTAAATATGTGCAAGTCAAATATCCTGAAATTATACAATAACTCCTCTTGCTTAAACAAGCTAAGTTTTTGAAACTATACACGATTATGTGCTTAAGACGAATAATCACACCTGTTTATAACATGTAAGAGGTCATTGCACCATTTTAATAAAGAATCATTAAAAGAATAAAGCCTTTTAAAACATGCGCGAGATAGCGATACGATTTTAATGTACAGCATTAAAAGCATTAAAAGAATAGTTCATTTTAATACCATGTTCGAGATATCGATACCATTTTAATTATGAAGCATTAAATGAATAATAAATATAAATAACATGTTTGAGAATGCGATGCTATTTTAATAAAGAAGTATTAAAAGAATGATGTCTTTTATAATAACTTGTTCGAGACAGCGGTACCATTTTAATAATGAAGTATTAAATGAATAATGAATATTAATAACATGTTTGAGATTGCTATACCATTTTAATAAAGGGGCATTAAAAGAATAATGACTTTTCATAACTTCGAAATAGCGATACCATTTTATTAAAGAAGCAATGGTTTATACATATCTACTCAACAAAGCATTTAACAAGTGAACAATATTTACAAAGAACATTTTGGGATTGGGAAGAAAGCTACAAAGCTTAAGAAGCATTAAAAGAATAATGCAAATGCTCGCCCATATGGTCTCTTTCCGGTGGCGAGGGTAAAAATAACCAAACACACAGATAATGCCTGTTAATAACTTGTTCGTGATAGTGATACCATTTTTATTAAAAAGCATTAAAAGAATAATGCCAGTTAATAACTTGTTCGAGATAGCGATACCATTTTAATAAAGGAGCACTATAAGAATAAATGTATTTTGATAACATGTTCTATATAGCGAAACCATTTTGATACAGAAGTATTAAATGAATAATTAATATTAATAACATGTTCAAAACAGCGATACCATTTTAATAAGGAGCATTAAAGAATAATGACTTTTAATAACTTGTTTGAAATATCGATTCCATTTTATTAAACAAGCTTTAAAAGGAAGAATGCATTTTAGTAACTCGTTCGAGATAGCAATACCATTTTTGTATACTGAAATATAGAAGCATTAAAAGACAAACGGATTATATTTTCCACACCTTTATTATATGTTAAGAAATAAACATGAACATTGCATTTTATACGCATACATATCTTATTTCATTTCAAAACATGGACACATTGAAACGAAAATAAAACAGAAAACATTTAACATAAAGTATAGAAAACATCTATCGTAAAGAAAATCACAAGTGTTCATACAGAGGTATAGGTCATACAACAACAACAACAACAACAACAAACAAACAAATAAAACAACAGTAAATATATATCATTATAACATTCACATAAATGCAACTTAGAGACCGACAACAATATACTTATTGCGTCTATCATTGAAATCACGGATATATTCTGGACAAAGCTATAGTACCATTGGCAATGAAACTGTTAAAAACTTGCTCTGGATTGGTAAATTTACAATAATCCATTTTATGCAGTAAACACATATGTAAAGAATCTCAGTAAACCGTCTAAAATTCATCAAGATTTTTTTCTGTTCATGGTTTCTCGGACTTGCTCAAGACAAGTTTGACTGTATTCAAAATTTGAACTATTTAAAACCTTTTCCTAAGTCATCTTGAGCAAAAAATGTTAGCGGTAGATTTTGCATTCTTAAATTTTGCAACATCCAAACATCCAAAAAGCTACACGGCATAGCGTATTAATTAAGCATTACAAATGGAAACACACATTAAGTCAGCACATTCTGAATGGATAAAGGTATATCTGATCAGGGTATATATTTCCACTGAAAATGAACAAGATAAAAAGACATCTCTGTACGATTGGGTCTCAATCAGTCAGGCGCATTATTTCATGAAGCTAGGAAATCAATGTATGTTTCTCTTGTTGTATTACTTGTATGGTCGTAGCCAACGACTCGGATTTCAGTCCCCCCAAATATGACCTCAAGGTCAACGGAACGAGACTTGTCTCCTGTCATATCCGGCATCTCAACAACCAAGCATCCGCATTTGGAGACGCCTTCCTCGTCAGTGTATTTTACTTTTCTTTTGGATGACTTGTAGAACTCAAATATAATACCTTTTTGGTTTGTTATAATAGGTGTGTACGTTTCCTTCCAAATCTCGTTATGCCCTATGACCTCTCCAGTTTCCGCCCAAATTTGTAAAATATTTTTACATAAAGTCATTCCATCAGATTCTACTTTCAAATCTGGTCTGTGAACGCCCTCTTCAAAGGGCAGATAAGAACCGACACCATACGTGAACCTACATATTCTTTGGCATATTGAGCTTGGATCCCTACCAAAGGCCACGGCTCCCCTTACAACGGCTAAACTAGCTTCTTCCGGTATAAGGACACTTACGGTTTCGCTACTAAACTCGTCCTTGATGGCTCTTTGTAGTCTACTTGACTCGGCAAATCCGCCGACTAGAAATATATATCTGACGTCTTTCAATCTTGTTTTCTTCATTAATGATTGTAAATGGTCGTTTATTTGTACCAGTGCATCTTGAAACAGCTCGTTCACCACAGCTGCTGACATCACAAGTTTACCAGACGAGAATTTTATTTCCGCTTCCGCTTGCGCGGCAAACTGTTTAATGCATTCTTGCACAGATCGACCTAAATGTCTGTAGTTACAAAAGTTATACGGTAAAGAAACCCTAATGCTTTCACATTCGCCTCTTTTCTTGATTTCAAAGTCTTGAAGTAGTTCAACAAAGTCTTTTGGAAATTCATTCTGGAATGCTTGCATGAAGTCGTCACCGAATATCTTGTTTAGAAGATTCAGGAATTGATTGTCGATCATGGTACCTCCCCATGCGCCACCTGTTGCTCGAAACAATTCTTTAATGCGGCCATCTTTTCTAACCTTATGTGCAACGATATCTATAGTTCCACCTATACGAAAATAAATAAGTTCTTTTTTTATTCAAGACATCACATAGAATTGAATTCTAACCCTTTAACTAATGGACTTGTCCTTTTGAATTTTGAGCAAATCAGTATTAGTTACAGAGCTATGAGTATCAAACTACTAAAATGTGGTAGTCATATGTTCTGGTCAGAGTGTGCATGGACGTGCTAGTTGACCGATAACATTAATTATGCAAGGCATTTTCATTGTTAGCATTTAAAGTGATAAAAAATTTAAAATGTCACTGTTATTCTCTACATGTTTTAAAGACAAATGTTCAGCTACAATTGATGTTCAAAATATATGTCTATATTTCCTTTGCTCTCTTTACAACATGGCAGCGCGCCCCTCCTATATCAAATAATATGTAAATTTATATAAGGACTAAGTAAGAAAAATATTTTCCCGTAAGTATGCACGGCATTTGAATAGGCCCTTCTTAGAAAGTTTGTTAGTCGATAGTAACACACAGTTTGGCCATATCTTGGCTGTTGGTCCATCAAATTGGCTTTCCTAGATAATTAACTTGTAATTACTAATTCCATCATAGGTGACCGACTACTAATCCCACATGATTTTTTAAATCAGCGGTGAGAGACAAGTGACCATTAGACTTGATGTTCGAGATCAAAATTTCATGAAAATTACGTGCATTTATTAGCTGTACTAAGAACAGTCAATGGTATTGAATATTTTTTGTTTGCGGTCAGTGGTATAGTACATTGTATTATATACATGTGTAAGATACTCTGGGTGTTTTTCTCAAAGAGCACTGACCTCCGGCATCAACGACGAGGTATTTTGTGCCAGACTCGAAACACGGTTTTGTAGCATCGTCGGCAGTTGACATGAATGTGCTAACCGGAAGTGTTCGGCAATAAAGTGACGCAGCTTCCGGTTCAAGGGCGATAACTAACTGGTTGCTGTAGAGAGTATCTATCAATCCACCCTTGTAAGAAAAAGTTTTGATATATATTTATAGGAATAAAATTGATATAAAAGGCACTTGGACAATGTGATTATAAAAGTAAGCGCATTAAAATTCTTTGAACATAAATTTATCATAAATTAACAATAATTATAAGATGTATTTATGTATTAGTCAATGGTAGTCACGACCATTCGTTATAATCTTGAATCAGATACATGTTTTGTGTATCCTGTTTTTTGAAATTGCAATAAAATATGTAACGAAGGGATAAAATGCGTTTTTTTCTCGAACAATCTTTCTCTTTCTATATACTTAAGCTTAAATACATAATAATTTAATCTAATGAAGAGTGCTTTAAAACACAAACAGTTGCTGACACGAAAGATAACCGGGTGACTAAATTAAAAATAAGATTTAAGAGTTGTCGTTCATTGTCTACGGCTAACTGGAATTACCCTATGAGCTGCTTCCCTCATGAATTGTTTTGAATTTTCATCCCAGATAGCTGGCACTGTTAGCACCCATCGAACGGACAGAGGGTCAGGATCGAGCCCAAGATTAGTTTTCATAGCTCTGAAAAATACGTGAAAATAGTGTGCAATGTAGAAATGCATATTTGTCAATTAATTTGACACTACAAAGACTACTGGTGATTAAAAAGCTCACATACTACTTTAATCGTATTCTTTTACAAGAGCGTTCTACAGACGTGAGCGTTCTATATATGTGAACGTTCTAGTAGCGAGCCTTTACCAGACGTGAGTGAGCTTTCTAAACACGTGAGCGTTCTACAGACGTGAGTGAGCTTTCTAAACACGTGAGCGTTCTACAGACGTGAATGAGCTTTCCAAACACGTAAGCGTTCTACAGACGTGAGTGAGCTTGCTAAACACGTGAGCGTTCTAAAGACGTTAGTGAGCTTTCTGAACACGAACGCGTTTTACAAACGCAGGCGGGTGAGTGAGCAGAACCACCGACCTTCAGTAGAATCCACATACATGTATGTAGGAATCCAAAGTCCTTTCAAGAATACGATACCGCGGCAATGGCTAAACTTTAAGATGATTAACGTGTAGGATACAATCAATGTACTACATAGTTACCTAAGTAGATGTTCTTTCATATAATAGAGTGATTTTGCAAAGACATCTACTGCTGGTTGTTGTTTGCCTTTTGCGTCTTCTAGCAGAATATCAGTATGTAGGTCCTGTAAATCAAACATTAAAAATTAGATTATGAATGCTACAAATTTAAGGTCATATTCATCATTAGTGTTTATATAATTTATAATTTGTGAAGTTAACACCAATTCGTGTGCTGTAACATAAAGAGATCTGGAATTAAGAAAATCATGTCTGCTGAGTCAAACTCACCATTTTAAAAATTATCAATTGAACTTAAGGGGAGGTAACTAATGGCATATCATTTAACTGCAGATAGGACAGTTATCGCCTCAAAAAGTGTTCGTTTCAATAAAGATCCATAACGCCCAACGTATCAAGAAGGACGACTATCACCTACGTAGTACTACGTTTAAACGAAATCTGGTTAAAAATAAATCAAAACTCTGTGTTGAATCCCTTTTCAATTGGAAATATCATCAGCAAGCAGGTTTGTTTAATTTAATTTAAACTGATACTTAACTGAGAAATTGCCCATAACGTATAAAATATGCAAACACTACACGTAATTACTGTTTTATAGATCATCAATTTACTGATACAGTAGCAAGGACTGGGTGTTTGAATTCGAGACCTAAGTGAATAACATTCAAAAATTCAGAAAACTTGATGCAGACTCGAAGCAATATTTCTTTCACGGACAATTTTTTTATTGTCCTTTAAAAATAAAATGTACTTTCTTCAAATAACTAGTATATTTTTTTGTTTTAGGATTTTACAGATTACTATAAGATCAAGGAAATATCCTCAAAATATGCCCCACCTTAACCAAGTCTTCAAAGTATGACGAGTTTAAATAAAATTTCATTCTGTTCCGGTCAAGCCTAATTCATATTTTCAATAACATTAAGTATAATAGTAATAATTAGACAAAACTGACCATTGAACGTTGACACCATAAAAGAACAAACACACGTGCTAATCACGTGACATGCACAGACAAATAAAGTGGTACTTGACTTAGATTAGAGACACTTGAGATAATTACGCCTATAGTATATTGATACTGCATCATACCATAAACACATCAATCGCTGTCCATTTATTTTTCATTCATAACAATACTTTATTGTCATTTATTCGAAAACCGAAATTCCCGTGTGATTTTTTTTCTTTAGAGAAACGTATTTAAATTTAGCCATTGAATAACCATTAAAAATTTCTTTTATCATTTTTATCAATTAATTTCCGATGATTCAGTGTCGTGTGATACAGGAAAACAGTTCAATTTCTAACTTCTTTATGATTTTTTTTTAAAGTTTTGTAAGTATCTGATCGTCCTCTAAAACAGGATGTTTTTCTATTGATTTATACATTTTGTATTTACATGTATATTTTTTTACAAACCACGATTACTCATGCTCTATTGTGAGTACAGTTCTAATCGAACCACGGATCCTGGAGCTAAATGGGGCTGGTGTTATGTAAAGATTGATTCTAAAGTTGAATATTGAATTAAATAAAAAAAATTGCCATGTAAGACAAAGAAATATTATTGAATAAGATTACCGTTTATATTTATACAAAGTGGCAAAATGCATTGCAAATATTGAATAATCGATCGAAACTACGACTCTGTAAGACTGAAAGAAGAAAAGAGCATTTATGTGGATCTTTGGTTTTCTTTTATTTAAAATAGTCGAAACTTCTCGGTCCTTTCCGTTACAAGTCGGAAGCGGGAAAATAATTGGTAAATGGCATAGAAATTGGCACAGTGAATGAGGGATATGCATTATTAATCGAGTGCCATCTTTTGAGCTGCTTAGTAAGTGATGGTATAGCTAAATAGTCAATACCCATCCATGACAATACCCGTTTTTCTTTGTTTTACTATTCTACAAGTAAACATACCATATAAAGTAAAAAAAATAACAGAGTTGTCGTTATTTTCGTACCTTGTTATCGAATAGTTTCATCTTGAATCGGTCAAAATAAAAGTATTCATCCGCCTCTTCCTCCGTTAGATCATTATACTTCGACACAGCCTCAAAGCCGAATGCCTCAAATTCCGCGTCGGGCCTCAAAAGAAGGCATGTTGGAGTTTTATGCAGAAGAAACCCTTGCGTTTGTCCCCAGTTTTTATTTGTGTAAATTTTATCACACTCGTCTGCGAAAGAGTAAGCATACCCGCTAAAAGTTGTACCAAAATCAATGGCAGCAACGATTTTGAAACTGTCTTCATTTTGCTGCGTAGAAGAAGCAATGTCATCGGTTTCCGCGATGTTTTCCACCACCGAAATGTCGTCTGCTTCATAAGTGTCCTCATCGTCTGCAAGCGTTTCCTCTTGATGCACAGAAGAGGGCGTTTCTGTTACGTCATTTTCTGCATCCGCCATTATTTTGTGAAATTTTAATTAGAAATAATCTCCTTTGTTTCAAAGCGTCTCCATATTCCTCATTTTTTCAACAACACAATGTCAACACCAACAAAGCGGCATTAAGAGTAGAGTTATTACTTGTATGGGAACATGTATCGATTTCCAACAGAAAGCATCCGACTCTCCGTTTACAGACTATTGATATTCAAGACTTTTTTTCGCAACGAATTTCCTATCGTAGGATATTCATAGGGACTAACTCTGCATATTGACGTATTATCTATTTATGCATGCAGCAATATATTACAAATAAATTATGGTTTCCTTTACTTTCTTTACCAAACTTTTTTCTGAGGATTTTTTTTAATTTAATCTCTGAACATGCAATGAGTTGTACACTTACTGCCCGTTATAAATAGAATACACACATGTAGTAAAATTAATATTCATAATCATAAACAAGTTGTCTATAACATTTAGTAAAACAATAGTATAAGGAACAAAAATAGGACTGTATAACTTCAGTATATCTGATGTTGTACACGTACTTTAAAGTACTTTTCAAGCCCTCTATGGCACAGTCATTTGGCTCAGTCACGTGATCAGTAGAAACGCTCAATAAAATTAGCCTAAAGTGAAAACAACCTTTAGCTGACAATAAATTGAACCCTTCATTTAAAATCAATAAGAGCGTTCCCTGTAGAAATGTTTTAACCCTAAAGATATCTGTCTGTAATGCAGTTCTGACTAATATTGGCCCTGAGTCACTCCGCGCTGGCAGACGACAATCAATAGTCTGCAAAATGATATTGGTTTTCAACATCATGGTCACACACATAACACACTGTTTGTTCCACAGAAGAATCTATTTCTATGGAAATCAATGAACAGTGGATGAATATGGAAGTAACTGTTGAGGGAATTTAGAGACCTTGAATATTTCAATAAAAGATACATCAAGAAGTTGGATCCTGGTTCAAAATAGCATCTTGACTTACAAAAGGTAATCATTTTATCCATTTAAATACTGTCACAGTTCAAATAAAACGCGAACAAAGACATGGCATGAATTTTATTACATTTTCATATAAATAATACGATATTTAAAATTAGATTTACATGATCTACTTTAACCAAATACCGAAATGATACGAAACTAAAATTACATATAATTATACATGTATGTATATACTGTAATTGGCGAACTTTTGATATGCTCTTTCTAGATTGTTTATATCATATATATACACGACATAATGTGTTATGTCAGGGCCTTTCAAATAGATATTGATAGATATTTGAAATACCCTGTTATGTATTATTTGTGATATAAAACCTTAATCAGTGATGTCATAATTATTATTATTATCGTCACTACAGATAAGCAACATGGCAACAATGTCGGAGAAAGACTTGAAGGCGGATGCCAAGAACTTTTGCGAGTCTTTAATCATTCACGTCATTATTATCATTATCGACATTACAGATAAGCAACATGGCAACAATGTCGGAGAAAGACTTGAAGGCGGATGCCAAGAACTTTTGCGAGTCTCTGGCGAATGTTTTCATGATGAAAAGACGTGATCCACAGACCCAGCATCTCCTACAGAAATCCAAGTCACTGATAGAAGCTCTTTTACAAGAGAAGCGCTCCAAAACCGAGCGTCCATCGATTCCCCCAAAACCTGCGCGCGCAGGAGGCGGAAGTATGGGCCAGCTCTGGGTAAAACTGGATGAAATGAAGCGCGAAAACGACGAATTAAAGAAAAAGTTACACGGAAAAATGCATGATGAAAAAACAATGCAAAGTAAAACGCAAGGGCCAGGGGAAGTAATTATAACCGAATTGCACAAATCCAAAACAGAGAATGAAACTCTTCGATCACAACTTGAAAAGTCAATGACCAGCATTAAAGAACTTGAAAAAGTAAATCTCACTTTGCAGGACGAGTTCAAGAGAACAAAGGTTGCACATGACGTGGCCCAGAAATCACTTGAAAAAGTAAAACAAGAACAGAAAACTCTTGAATCGTCTTTAGACACCGTCAAAACGGAGAACGATAAGTTGAAAATGAGGTATGAATTTAGATTGAATAAGATAAATGTATGATTTTTTGGTATGATGAACGAATGATATTTTGTTATTGAATACATATATATAATATATTGAAGACAATGGGAATGTTCTATATCACATTTCGCACGTTTTTTACGAAACCCAAATGCTATACGGTTGAACATAAAATTTAGTGATTTTGACATCGATTCGCTGGTAATACTTTCAAACGCTGTTTGTCAAAATATCTTCTTTTCTGTTTTTCTTTCTTGAAATTGTAATTTAAAATCTATTTATTTAATATTGGGATAATGCGGTGATCATACCTTTTTTAACAGATACAGTTCTCACATGTAACACACATATATCTGCTTTCAATTCACAACATCTTGATAAGTTTTGTTGGGATTCGTATTTAATTCATGTATGACCTCGTAAACATTCGGCGAATTCCGCCGTTTTCCGTATTTCAAAAAGCCCATACGCATTCATGTTAATCAAAGGCTTTCCAAATGAACGTTAGGTAGGGAAAATGACGTATCGTGTAGCCCTGTTCCGTTGCACTATTTCAATTCCGTTTTCTACACTCATTCATTCTTATCAGACCAAATACAAGAAGAAAAATAACATGTTACAGTCAAAGATACATCTGTATAAAAGAAACAAAAGTAGTAGACATCCAATTATTTTTTTTTTCCAACTTTTTCTTCTTCTACTTATTACTTGAGCGCATGAAATTTCCCTGTATATTTTACAGATGTACAAACAGCGTGAAACCCATGAAAAGGGCAGACAACCGTTTCGTCGAGAACATCAATGAGAAATGTCGGCCTAGTAACATCGCTCTATTGTATAATAATCTAGAGTCTCAACAATGGGTGGACGCTAAAGAAGGTCTTGAGGACGCTGGGTACGAGGACGAGGAGATGATAACCAAATTCCTATGTGACATATTAATGGTTAGTATTTATTATTAGTTGTAAAGATTTTTGACAGGTTATATGACCATATATAAACGTACGTTTGGAAATATAACCCGAGCCACTGGGCGAGGGTTATATTGCAAACATACTTTTATAAACGGCCATAATTATAACCTGACATGAATATCTATTACGAATTTATAATACGACAAACTTCCTTTTTCAGAATGTGTATATAAAACTATATTAACATAATGCCTATCCAGTATCATAAATTCATTTAAAGATAGTGCTTGCAATATTACAAAGTTGTTATTCGTGTTCTGCAGTTAAATAAACACTCTCATTATCATTTAGGTTAGATGTAAATCGTCGAATGAATGAAAATGTAAAGTTTTACTTTTAATTCAGTTAACCTAATCTTTTTAACCACACTACATTCTCCTTTTCTTTTCACTTTCCAATTAAATTCAAGTTCGTTATACAAAAAAATACTTGCCATTGCATAGTTCTGAACCTACTGCTGAACTTACGTATTCTTGAATAAGTTCTAGCAAAACATGTTATGTTATCTACATTTAAGTAAGTGTTTTCTATGTACATGAACTATTTTGGTTCAGAAATGAAAGTACATGTATTTAAAAATACACGTTCTACATAAAAATGTAAAATACTGTTCCGTGCTATCGCATAGTTTGCGTTTGCTTAATGCTAAACACTCATTGCTATCATTTTGAGAAGTCACAGAGTCAAGTATAATTGACCATCTTTAAAGGAACTCCACTCAGGTCATAAATCTTAAAACATAAAAATTGAATTTCTTAGATCGATCAACAGGGGCATTTAAAACAAAAAGATATGCATATTAAAATTAAGAAATAAACTCAAAAATATCTTTTAAATCATATATTTGTGTCATTCTTCTTATCCCGATCTGTGCGAAAAGCGTTGTAAATCTTTTCAATTTCGGGTCATTTATTACAAAAAGATTAATTATTATAAACGGAGTGTGCAAATAATCTGAAATTTTGCATACAAGTACTTGGTCAAGAAGAAAATTAATCTTTGAAGATTATTGCCAGTCCCGTCAGGTCAAAAACCTCAGTGGAGTCCCTTTAAGATGTTGATTATAATTGTTGTGCAAGTCTGTACTTTAACGATTTAACCCCTTGAAAGTGTTTGATGTTTTTAAACAACAAATTATTGACGTAAATAAGGATGCAAAAACATTTGAACAACATCACGTGGCAATTTCACCAATAAGGAAGTGAGGTACAACAGTTTAATCATTGAGCGTAAGGTTTTCTTCCGCTTTTTATGTTGTTTTGGATATTTATTAATGGTATTCCATGGCTTTTGACCTGTTTTAAGTACTAATTTGATATGGAGTGTTTAATTGAAGCACTTAAAAGTTATGAAAAACAATTAAAGAGGCTTTTTCTCATATTGTATAGAAAATATTAAAGTATTATTTAGAAATAAAGTGTTACTATAACATGACTTGTGACATTTAAAAAAAATCCGCAGAATGGGCGACAGGGCGGGAGGGGCTATGTAGTTTATTTCATGTATATTTTTCATTTAACACTGTCTTTTAAGTCAATGGTTGTTAAATAATGACTAAATTTTTTTTTTATAAATGTCACCAACAATTTCCATATATTTATATGTTATCATGAAATGAACAAATTTTGGCAATGAAATATACATATTTAAACATATTTCATACCAAAGGTGAACTGTAATACATTGTATTTAGTTCAGGTGAAGAATTCTTTCATAATTCTTATTTCAGATTATGCATGCTATCTTTTGTATTTAATTCATGTAACATATTTCACAACGTATTTTACCTGAATTTAATTATTTCAGGTAACGTATATTTTAACAAACATTTTAGGTAATGTATTCTATTCCGATGATGCATAGTTCAGGAAACATTTTTATTTTCTTTTTCAAATGTCAATTTCAGGCAACATAATTATAGTACTATTTATATTGTATGTTTATGATACATGTATATATTTTAAGAAACGTAACCCTTTTGTTTTAATTTCTGTTTCAGGTAACGTATTCTATTTGCACAGAACTTCTGACTGATATAGACAATGGTATAGCAGGTCTTTTGAAGGATCCAAGTAAACTTGTACGTATTTCATTGTATTTCTTCAAAATGAGATACTTTTTTCATAATAATTAACATACATGTATTTACATTTATAAAGATTTAAGACAGGTTATATGACCCTACATAAACTGCTTATATATAACTCAAATCAGCGACAGGTTATATGACCCTATTTAAACTGTTGTACAATGTGATTTTAGGCTTCAATTTCACGAATATGAGTTTAAATTAATAAAATAATTCGTATTATCATACATGAAAAACGTAGCATGACAGACATGGTACTGTCAAGCTACGACAGGACAAAACACGACACGACCAGACACAACAACAGTAACATTTTCTTTAGTCAGCTGAAAGTCTATTTCAACATTTGAAATGTATCGTTTAATCAATTTCAAATGACAACATTGCATTTCAACCTCGGTTAGCTCTAACAACCGATATCTCGAACAAATTTGCTCTGATCCTCCGATTTCTAACAGTATATAATTATTACATATACTTACATGATATAATTAGAATAACATATTTGGGTATAACTTATTTTCAGCTTGACAGTTCGTTTCTGGATTGTACCAAAGATTCTTTATGTTTACCAGACGAACTTCTACACAGCATTAAAGACGTACTACGTCAGAATTATGAAGATATAGACCCTGAACCAATTGTCACGGTAAGTTAAACATGTTTTTGACAGTTCTAACAACAGCAGCAGTAACAATAACAAAACAACAACAACATCAACAACAACACCACTAACACCAACAATAACACCAGCACCACCACCACCAACAACAACAAGCAGCAGCAGCAACAACAACAGCAATTACAACAAAAACAACAACAATAATTACAACGTTTTACTAACGGTTAATGATGAAAACGTAAAGATTTATTCTATTATTGAGGTTTACATTTTGTAAATGGATTCCTTGTTTTGTCTTTTACATATGTCCTGTCTCAAATGATATTTCATGATTTTATTTCCAGTCATTAACGTCACAAAGTAAAAATATATGTAACTTTACTGCACTCAGTAGCCGATAAACCAGCTAGTTGTTTGATTTACAAAAAAAGCTAGATAGTCATCATGCGTGTAGAGTAGTTGAGTGTTGATACCAAGTATAATATCCTTTTTCAAAGGTCATTGTATGTAAAGAAGTTCAAAGGTTATTCATAATTAGAGGTATCCATTTGAATGCACATGCGCGAAATGCTACTTCCGTTTCTATGGAAATATCATATTGTAAAAAAGGTCTTATAGAGTTGCGTGCATGGTATATCCCATATTTTTTCTAAACTCTTATTTCTTAAATATTCAAAACAATTCAGTTTTTTTCACATTGATATCCAGAGGCCTAAACATGCGCCAAGTCACACAAGATTACTTCATCCTTTGTGTAAGAGAATCTCATCATTGATGGGAATCGGGCTTACGACCTCCGGATTTAGATTTGAATTTGCACAACTTGAACAAAAGTGTGTAATTTATACAATGCACTCTATAAATTTCAGTTGTTTTTTTCTTTTATCTATTTTTCTTTTTTTTTCTTTTCTACAGAAATGTAAAGAAAAGGTGAGATGTGCAAACGAATGGGACCAATTCGAAGGAGTATTAGGTCATAAATCTATAAATAGATATATGGAACAGTGCGCATGCGTGACTTGGCAAATGGTTGTACAGCAATCACCAATGTGGTTAAGCACAAGTGACACTTATTTCGACGAGGAGCTCCATAAACTATGGTGGTCATGTGACAAATCAAGCGCCAAAATGATAAAGTTTTTCGTCTGGCCTGCCTTATACGACTGCAGAAATGGAAATCTTTTAGTAAAAGGCTGCGTGAATACATCTATGGAATAATTTTTTATTTGTTTTGTCTAGTTCCACTTGATATATAAAAACAGAAGAAGAAGAAACAGATATAATAACCAAAAATTGACAATCAGTAATATTAATGATGGACATTCTGCGAGTGCAAAGTTGGTGAAATGCAGAACGATGTTGAATAAGTTTCCAAAACTTAGAAATGATGTACATTGCAGTTCTTACTTTATACATAACCATGAAATATATGAAACAGATGCTTTAATAAGTGACACGAACTTTTTTTTAATTAAAGCAATTATAGCGCCATCTGTATGACACTTTTTTTTCGAATAAATAACCTTGATTCAAAGTATTCTGTGTATCGTTGAATATATATTCCCCGTTGCCGCGCGCTTGGAAAGTAAATATTTTCTTTTTGATTAAAAAGGGTCATAATTTATTAGTACATGTTACCATACTGTGATTGTTTGTTTACTGGTGACACCCTGTATCAAATTATACTTAATTGCGATATGTCGCACGCTATATTTTGACCCTATTTTCTAGCGGATGTTTAACATGTGTAGATGAATGATAATTATAAATAATGCTTGAAAAAGAAGTTAATGATGAAGATGGTGATGAAAGGGATAATGATGATAATGCTTATTATGATGATGGTGACAATAATAATAATTAATTATTTTGATAATAATATACTTACTAATTTGATTTTTATTACTAGAACTATGTTTATGCATAAATAGCCAAGAAATGAAAACTAAAAGTTGCAGAAATGTGCTTTTGGTAAAAGCATTTTTGTCTTTGGATATTGAATAATCATAATTCCATATGGAGTTTAGTTTCGAGTAAGCATCCAGTTTTCATTACCTCAGAACAACCATATCCTTTATCATATATAAATTACACCGGGAATAAAGTTTGACTATGTCCCCATGTCCCGCTACATATTTTGGTATAGGGTAAAACTCACAGGCTAGGCCAAACTGGTAATGACATTGTTTTGGTGTGGTTTTACGCAACAGTAAATACCATTCTAGACTTTCTATCTTTACTGGTGGGGGAAGGGTGTGTGTGTGCGCGCGCGGGTGTGTGTGCCCCTTCGTCTATTTTAGGCAAGAGCGGACACCCGAGTGGAGCCACCGGCTTTCCATAAGCTAGTTGGATAGCATCCATACATGAAATAATCCAAAGTCTCTCGTGAGATTTGAACTCACGGCAGTGAATGACAAACGGTTGGAAGTCAACAACCTTAACCTCGGCAAAGGACTAGTTAATGAAGAAGGCTTCACAAAATACATGATGCGAATGAATTCTTAAAAACATGTACCACAAAATAAAATTATTAATACTCTATATGTACAGTGTTTGAATTGATTTCACTCTATCGTAGATACACTAGATAAATGCGAATATAAGAATTTTTGTCAACAAAATTTGCTTTTTATCATTATAATTTAATTCAGATACATTTAAACGTGTTCTTACTAATTAAGCTACATCCTGTATATTGATAACGAGAGAGAAACTATTAGAAAAAAAAATAGATATTTAATAGAAGATACGACGACGACGACGACGACGACAACAACAACAACAACATCGACAACAACAACCATTACAATAACAAAAACAATAATAATAATGATGATGATGATGATGATAATGATGATGATAATAATAATAATAATAATAATAATAATAATAATTTATAATAATAATAATAACAATTAATGATAATAGGCCTAATATTAATAAACAATTTCAATTTATACCATAAATATACATAAAATATGTAAACATGTATTCAATGATGAATAAATAACATCTTTATAGCATTATGGACTGAACAAGGAACACTCTTGCATTATTTACGTTAGCAGTATTATTAAAGGACAAGGATGTCATGAAAAAATAAAACATTTTCGAAGCCTCGCGAACTTAAATGACGAAATTTTCGGACAGGATAAACAATTTATTGATGGTAAAATTATGATTGTTTCAATTTTTGTGATGCTCAATCCTAATGCAATTAGTTTGATTGTTTACAAGTGACTCTTTCCGGTGTTTTCTGCGTGTGAACTTTGATTGAGATTGGAGCATTCCTATTGGTTTGCTAAAAATATATTCTGCGTATTTATATCGTTTGCCGGACTTAATTCTTTTCAAACATAGTGCGCTTTTGAAACTATAAACTTTACCGTAAAAATTTAGGTTAAACAAACTTTGCATGTAAGTATAAATCTAATATATTTTTCTTTATGATTTATTTTATCAATAAGAAAATTTCAAATTAATTAAGATATTTTGTGTCTCATTTTACGTGAGCATAAATTATTATTTTTCAATTTTCAAATATTTTGAAAGTATATACACATGATATTGCTAAACAGTAAAAGTCATACAACATATAATGAGCAAACTTTCTTTAATTTTAAAAGTATTATATATTATGACAACATTTAAAAAAGTTTGTAAATTTCTAATGAACGGAATAGCATTTATTTAAAAAAATCTACCTTATTTTAGCATGGCTAATTCAACAGCAGATATGATGACAACAACACTCACAACAAACAAAGCATTTGAACCTAGCTCTACAACTAAAGATACTTCTATGGAAATGGCTGAAAAAATGCATTTTGTCACAAGTGCCATAGTTGGAACTATTTTCGTTATCGTCGGAATAACCGGAAATATACTGTCAATCAGCGTCTGGAGGAGACCGAAGATGCGTTCATCAACTGGAACTTACTTGATCGGACAGGCGATTGCCGATATGGGTCTGCTTTTCTTCTTCTTTATCACAGAGAGCATCCCGAAAATGGCACCGGAAGTACTAACAACTCACTCGTACGGTGTGTTCTTTTCGTACATTGGATTTCCGATCTTTTTCCTGTTTGTGATTTGTAGCATTTGGTTTACTGTCGGTGTAACTGTTGACAGATATATTCAAGTGTGCTGGATCAGCAAATCCAGGGTAAGTCTATATTTTATTACACCAACTTATCATGTAATCGGCTATATCAATTTCAAATGCAAATTGTATTGGTGAAAATAAACAATGAACATACAATGTATTTAATCACAGTAGATAAACTATTTAACTGTACCACAGCTTGCAAGCACATACAATTCAATGCGTAAGCCTATCATATAGAGGATATTTGTTTAGTTCAGTGTAAGATCGGAATATATTTCACCGAGAGAGCACCAAAAGGTATATTTCACGAGTGGCGCAGCCACGAGTGAAATATGAACTTTTGGTGTTCACAAGGTGAAATATATTTCGATCTTACACTAAACTAAACAAATTTTCTTTTTATTATATGCAAAGAAACGTTTTAAAAAGACATTAAACCTAATACTGAATGAAAAGCGCGCCAAAAAATAATACAACGTGACGTCATTTACGACGTCACGTCATTAAGTTGGTACCCAGTACTGTGCACGCTTGTATTTCACTGAAACAACGTAAGGGGCTTAAATTCAAAACAGTGAAATTATCAAAGTGGTAATTTCACTGTTTCCAACAGTGAAATTACCAGTTTTATACCACTGATATATTTCTATAAACCACCGAAAAGCATGTAATAGATCTTGATATTACAATCATTGCTACATCCGATCACTACTTTTCACTTTTACAGTTTTAACTTTTATATTTCTTGCAACAACAAGAAGTTGACTCATTAAAAAAAAAAGTATTTCTAAATGAAAAGATGACCTTTCTTCTTTTCTTAATTCAGTTACTATCCTCTTCATTTGTTGGCTCTAAATAGCTAAAAGCTAGTTTAATTTTACTATACTTCTTGCATTATGGACATTTCAAATTTTAGAGAAAAAAGACATATTTTATAACATTTTCAAAACTCGTTTCAGGACATGTGTAACACAAAAAGAGCATTGATAGGGTTAGGCATCATCACATTTCTATGCTTCATCATAAATACTCCGCATTTCGCTTCATATGAGCCAGTTCCTTCCAGTGAACGCAATGCGTCAGACGCCGGTTTTCGTCCAACAGAATATGGCGCCGGAACCGGAAGTAAAAACTATGAATTCTGGGTACATTGTATGTTTCTCGTACTGGCTCCCTGGGCTACTATCTTCGTCTTAAACATGCTGATAATACAACGGGTAACAAAAATCAATCGTCACATGAACGATAAGAGAGGCGAGTCAGGGAAAGAGAAGGCGAAAAAGTCCGAGACACAGATGACCCGATTACTCTTGACAGTGACCTTTACTTTCTTGGTTCTGATAGCATTCCAGTGCATAACGCAGTGTTTCTTCATGCAAGATAAGGTAAGAACACATTTATATAGAGATGATTTTATAACAATTGTTTTCTTTCTTGAAAAAAGCTTGTGCCATTCACAGTCACTGCTAAATTTATTTTGGGATAACGGAACGATTTACTGCCGGTAAATGTTTTAGTAGTTCTGGCGAATACTGTGCGCATCAACCCTTCTGTCTATTTGTTTCTTCATTAAGAGGAATCGAAAGACCGGCGGGGACATTTCAACTTTATGAATTCACAATTTTAAGTCCGTGAATTAACGTTTTCAACATACGGAATTCACGAATTTACGATTTTAGCTTCATGAATTCACGATTTCAACTACACAAATTCACGATTTTAACTTCACGAATTCAACTTAATTCATGAAGTTTAAGTCGAGAATTCGTGATTTTGAAATCGTGAATTCATGGAGTTGAAATCGTGAATTCGTGATATGAAGCTGAATCCGTATGTTCACAAAGTTACAATTGTGAATTCACGAAGATGAAATCGGGAGTTCATTGAGTTCAAATATCCCCACCAGTCTTTGGAAAGTTTAATATGAAATATAATCATGTTAAAATTGTCTAATAGTTACATAATCATTATTTTCAGGGAGATCATCGCATTGTCCAAGAGGCGTTTTCAATTGCGAAGCTCGGCATTGTCATAAATTCATCAATTAATTTCTTCCTTTACTGTCTGAGTGCAAAACGATTCCGGAAGGAGCTTTCCGCTATCGTCTGCGCGCGCATACACGGCTATGATGAATCATCGACGTCACATTCAATGTCTACATCATCATCTGCGGTAACCAGAACAAAATCTGCGCTTTCAACAAACAAATAAGATGGTGCCTTGAATTTATATATATTGTTTATTTTTGCTTTTGTATAAATAGTTAGAAAACATTATAAATTAGCTTAAAATCAAGATATTCTGCAAGAGAATGCGGAGAGTGTACGATAATTATCTTACATGCAAAAAAAATGCTTCGTTAAGTGTTGGATGTCACACAACATTTCTGTCAATGAAAGTTTTTGGGCAAACACATGACCCATATTAACTGATTTCCTTATTTGTTCTTATGTTTTTTATAAGTTCTACATTATAAGTGTACTTTATAAGTATGTATAAACAGTGTTGTGAATATCCTTTTTAATGTTTATAATGATATATGTAAAGATACTGCAGCTGATGTTATGGTGTTATATTATTATTATAAGCTCATATGTAGAAAACATTGTGAAAATCCAAAGAATTCATTTCTTTAAAGGTAAATTATGTCCCAGAAATGAATAAATAGTTTATTCTTTAGGAAGAGAAAACAATAGTTTTATAATGATTAATTTGCGGTTTTAAAGTACGATACATAAGAAATTAGCGTTGAATGTGAAATTATTTGTCATAAAAGTAGCAAAACGTTAACAATGTAGTATTTGACTTCCATACAAATTACTATATCAGTATAACTGTACTAAATGAAGGAAAAAAAACAGAAGCAAAAGATGGTTTTGGTAGTTGACCAATGAGTAACATTTTGGTAATTATAATATGTCACCAAAATTTTCTGGGGCATAATGGACCTTTAAACTAAAATCGTTCCATTTTCATTCCATACGAATACAAATAATGGAACGACATATGCTAAACTCATAGTTTCGATATAAATTATGGAAACAATAAGCCTGTTTTTTTATATTTTTATTTTTTTCTTACGAGCGGTCATAAATCTTTCAGCAGGCTGTAGATTCAAGTGCTTTCAAATGAACGCTGCAATAAAACGCAAAAAATACTTGTTCAAGTTGTTTGTTATGAAATTTTGACGATAGAAGAATTATATAACTATCCGCTAGCTATGTGGACCGTTTCCGCAAGTCCGTGATGAGATTGGGATACGTTAAATCAGCATCATAATTACAACTACAATGCAATATATTACAAATTTTATGGAAAGAAAAAACCTGTTGATAATTAGAATAATATCATAGGCGTTATGGTTCATGCAAACACGCATCCTAAATATTCATCCCTGAAAATAAGATATCAAGTTATTCTCAGTTCGAGCTCCATGCCTTTAAATTCATAAATGTATATTCAGCTTGTGATGTAGGTCGAACAAGAAACGAATACGATGTTATAACTTAGAAGTAATGAAACATAGACTTAAAATCCAAAGATCTCGTAATGTTTGTAGATGACCGGCATATAAACTGCCAGTTTCAAACCCAGCACAGTCAATGTTTTTCTCGTTCAAATATCGATGACTCAAGGAAGGTTGACGACTGCAATGCACATTCGACAAATATGTTAGGTCACTGGTTATAAAAAAAAAACAAAATCAAAAACAACAACAAAAACAACAACAAAAAAATAACAACAAAAAACACAATATGAATTGGCAACTAATAGTTTCATACAGGATAAGTGGTTTTCATCAACCAAAGATAGAAGAGGGTAAGATTTAAACAATATAATTTGCTACAATGATAAAACGATTATACAATAATGCCTAGGTAATATGAGCATAATGATGAGTCATAAACAAGCGCGGAAGAAAATGAGGAAAAAATGCATCATTTTCTGTTTGGACAAGCAGTATCAACTTATCAATTAATATATCTGATTCAGTGAAAGAGTTGACAACAGGACAAAATACGTGTATAGTGATGAACATCAAACAACTTTACATAATATATTTAAGTCTTTGATTGCATTTGAAACAAATTATGTTTGATGTTGTTTCAATTGTATGCAAAAAACAATAACAAAAAAGGAAGAAAAAAACCAACAGCAATTATAGTGTAGGTTGGAAATTATACTGTCGGTTGGAAAGAATGAATATGACGAGCATAACTGTCGTCTTAAAGGCTAGAAGTTAAGCAGTTAATACTTAAAGGTGACACTGGCGCTAGCTCTACACTGCTGGGGATAATTTTTCGCCCGGACCTCTAGATAAATTAACATTACAAGTTGATGGTTTCAGAGTTCCCCGAACAATAAGAGGCCCAATAGGAGAAATATAAAATAAATATCTTCTTACACTGACTTGTCAGCTAGATATTCCAATATGGGGTTTGCTCTTTCTCAACACAGAAACTAAATGGAAACCATTGCTTTACTCATCGTTGTCAAATTTTGTAAACTAGGAACAACTTACAAGAGATGAAAAGGAGAATTAAGCTGGGAAGGATAATGTTACGTGCGCACCATATTTTGACTTTCGTGTCCAAACGTTTATAAAACATGTTCTGAAACACTCATCAAACTCTCTTGGCAAGCTTCTTGATCACTTCTATAGAGTATAATTTTAACAAAGGGTTTCTCCTCATATTCACATGCCGATTTTGAAAGAAAAAAAAACACCCGGATATGAGAGCCTATCCTCATCAGAGATGACATCAATTGTGGATACCGGTAAATATGTAAATTGCTGCAAATACAAGTCTATATCCACTCTAATAACGTATCAGGCACGTTCAATGTCCAACCTTGCAGAAAGGTGGGTAAAGTTATCTGTCTGACGCCGTCATTTTCCACTGACTCCAATGTCTGAATCTAGATATAGATCCACTTAGATCACTAATGAGAATTATTCAAAGCGCTTAAAGCAAGTTTGACAAGAGTCACTTCATTCCTTTATGATGCCTCTATTGCAGGTTTGTCTGATAACTCTTTTGATAATTTAAAAAAAAACTGGCTCTGACCCCGACAATAGATAAATATTTCCTGGCAAGTTTAACAAAAACAACCATTCTTATGTCTAAAATGTAATGTTTGCAATATTATAGTTACTGGACAGCAAGGGTAGAGGTATTAAACAACGCAGTTTTCTGTTTCTAAATCTATTTACTAAAGATACTACAGAGAGGTGATGGAAGGTGAATTTAGGCGGAGCTTATCAGCTAGTGGCTAATAATAGCTGACCAATAGCGAGTCAATATATTACAAATTACTTAAACAGGACATTGATGACCTGTTAGGAAGCCAATATTGATATTCAGTATAATATACTTGACCAATATTCAGTGTTTCTTGCATTGCGTCTTATATCTCAAAATGTCAAAGAGGACTTTCAAATTTACAACCAGATGCTTTTTAGGAATCTACAGAACTGAAATTGTTATCTGCAGTTCGGCGCATTCGGGAGCAAATTCGGCATATTCGGCAGCAAGTTTGGCAGCAAGTTCGGCATATTGGTAATCAGTTCCTTTCTAGTGAAGAAGCTGTTTACCTGCTACTACAAATGTCTGTTAGAGACGTTTACAAATAATTTTATTTTTGTAGACACAAACAAGCCAGAAGCAAGAACTGCATTGTTGAAGTGTTTTTCAGATTTAAAAGGGCTTCCTTGTTCCTGTTTATAGTTCTGGCTTCCAAACCTTTATTAGCCCCCTTTCGTCTGATAGAGCATGGCACAGTATAAAAACGGGTACTCTGAAGAATTTAAGCTTTCCTGTTGCTCAGACAAAGTTGAGAGAAGATGGACAACACTTTGAAACGTTATATATGGAGACAAACCACTAAAAAGCACACATTCTATTTATGGTATTGACTATAGAGTTTGTAAAAGCAATCAAAATAGAAAACAACAACATAAAAACAAAAAACAACAAAAAAAACTATATGAGTAATAAGATGGATAAAGACTTGTCAGAAATGGAATATGAACATGAGGAGAAAGTATAGATGAAAATGAAGATGACAGAATGGGTTTTTATGATTTGCATTTGACATCCCTCTCACATGTGTCTCAAGTAACTATTTCATTTATGCATATTAATAAATAAATTTCCTTCTATAGTCTTAGCTTAAAAAACACTATTAGAAAATGAGTCATCATTGCCATATACATTATAGTTCAAATAATGTTATAACTTTTATTTGACCTTCAGTTTCGAGAAGTGTTTGGCTACTAAACAAATGGCCTATAGTCACTGGTTTCCTTAGGTTTTTTTTACTTTTTGTAATAAAACGTTCTACAGTGTTGTGAATACCCCTTTCTTATGGTAATGATGTATGTAAAGATGCAGCTGTCGTTATAACATTAGATCTATATTAAGAAAACATTTGTGAAATTCAAAAGATTTCATTTTTCCTAAACTCGTATTGTTTCAGATTTACCATACAAATACAAATACATTGTTATGTGAACGACATATGCTATACTGGCAATATCGATATAGATTATGCAAGCAAAATAAACTATTATTGTTGTTTAACGATCGATCGGTCGTAAATCAGACGTGAATTCTATGATATGATATAATTCAAATGAACGCTGCAATAAAATTTTTAAAAAAAGTTTGACATACATTTTGATATGAAGTCAGACAGATTTCCAAATGACCAGATAGGTTTTAGAACCTTATTAATTAATAAGACGTAAGACATGTTATAAACTAATAAATATACCTTAATTAGGATGAGCGTCAATTTGGTAGGAAGTTGATAGTTAGACATTCGAATAACAAACTACATTACACATACTATCTGGTAATTGGTTATTCGTAATTCGTTCATGAAATGTTCGGACACACCATACTTTCTAAAGGAGGATACCTTGTTGTTTTTTTTTCGCGCGAATCCCCAACTTTTTGCGATGACACCCGAATTTTAAATATGTAGAAATAATTAGAATACATTTGTATTTTCATTTACTGTTAGGTTTAAAGCCATAAAAGAACCATATACTATCCACTAGCAATGTGAACCGTTTCCGCACGTCCGTGTTAAGATTTGAATATATTGAGTCAGTATCATAATTTACAAAAGTAGTTTAGATCTTAGCAATATATTCTAAATTTTATGGGAAAAAGGCCTGTATGTGTTTGGTGTTGAAAATTAGAATATCATCGTTGGTATTATGATTCATACAAACACGAATTCGTATGGTACATTCCCGATATTATAAAATGATTATTAAGGTATTCTAATTTTGATAAATTTTAGCCAAAACTTCGATTATCCGACCTGGTTTGTCCGATTGAAATGGCATTATCTATATGAGACGGCCTACTGAATTTTGGTACTATATATCCTATAGTAAATCAATCACATCTAACACTGAATTCTGGGCACAGTATAATCCGTACAGGCATTTGGTGGAATAATACTGTCCAACTAAATTTAGCACAAAAATAATATATTCGCCCTTGGACTGTTTCTGCAGCTTTTAATTTGTGACTTGAAATTGGCCACTTCAAAATTTAGAACGTGCTGGGTCTAATTCCGTACCGGGGTGACACCATCATAATATATACCGAAAAGCGGTATATAGACTGGAAAATAAATGTTTACGGAAGAAACGAGACTTTTCCGCGTTTCAATACGACTACATTTTGTTTGCCGGCGGATTGGCAATAGAGAAACTCATTGGTCATTCTAAAATAAAATGTGGAGGATAGTTCTTGCCATTCATAGTTTTAAATAAAATGTATAAAATGTAAAGAATGTTTTGCCATTATAAAATAAAACGGAAAGGATAGTTTTAAAAACAAAATTCACAGGATAGACTTTTAATTAACTTTCTAGTCACTATATAAAAATGCTGAGATATTTATGTTCTGCTCCAACAAAACATTTTACACTGCGTTTTGATATCATTACATTTTCTAGTGAACACAAGACCTATCTAAGTTTATTTTACACATTATTAATTTTGTCCATATAACGAAACCACCGATTACGTGCACGATCCTGTAATTTTACTCGTGCACATGAAAAATATCGAAAACACACACCAAAAAAAATTTGACTTTATCAGGTACCCTAAGTTTAAGATGTTCATTAAGTGTCCAATATATTAAATGATCACTGGGGAGTCAAACGCAAAAACAAGTTATATGTGACACATTAATAAATACTATTAAATAGAAGTTGCTCTACTTTGCTTATATTTTTAATGTCTATGTTTACAAAATAGGTTTTTGTTTTCAAAGCTAGAAATTATTATATCATTGTTATGCAAGCATTGCTGACCTTTCTATATGTATCGAAATAACATATGCAAGTTAACCAGTTTTACTCTGGTAAAGATATTTCTTGTTTGATTTCTTTCCTTGCATATTGTATATATTCTTTAGAATAGAAATTGTTACATCTACTACAGTACTATGGTCTGAGTACGCCATTCATCATATACGGGGGAATGAGAAGAAGAAAACATTTTCCAGCAAGTATGCAGACTGAAAAAATATTATTATCATTATTATTGTATTTTACGTCACATCGACACAGTATAGGTCATATCGCAACGTTCCAGCTTTTACTTGTGGAGGAAGACCTCAGGTGCCCTTCCGTGCATTATTTCAGGCACGAACGGGCACCTGAGTAGAACCACCGACGTTCCGTAAGCTAGCTGGATAGCTTCCTCACATAGACTGAAAAATCTAGTCCGATATGTTTAAATATAACGGAGTAAATATATTTTAGTAACCGTCCTTATCAACATTATGTCACCATTATTTACGTCAAATGATATTTCAATTCAATATAATAAGATGCATAATGCTACATTTATTGCTTTAAAACATGTTTCACAAAAACGTTCGAGTCCTTTTAAACGTAAAACTGGGTTACTAGACCGTTACTAGTACACACTCAATATCTTGCGCATGCGTAAAACTGGGTTACTAGTACACGCTCAATACCTTGCGCATGCGCAGTTGTACACAGGGTAAGCAATTGTATTTAAGTCCAACTTACATGAAATTCGTTTTAATATCATATTCTCGGCTGATATATAAGATTTTATGTTCACATGAAATAATAATATCTTTTCCTCGACTGATATATTTTAATTTGATTTTCGGAACTTCTCTCATAATGGGAAAGAACCTTAACTGCGCATTGGTAAGTTATTATTATTCTGTTTTTGATTTACTATTTTATAAGTTTTTAATTTGAGTAACAATAAAGACAATAACAGTTGCATCGCTTTGAAACATTTTTTTTCTTATTTTGTAAAAATATATCAACTGAACATTTGTACATCTATACTCCTTGATTTCTTAATGTCTCATAAGTAGCGGAATATTAAATACATCAATGTAAATATTTTTTTTAAAAAAAGCATGCAAACACATTTTTTTATAGAATGAAAAAAAATACTTTCTTAAAACTGATATATAAAGTCGAAGTGAAAAAAAATTACACATGTAAGTAACTGTCCTGAAATCATAGTCATTTTGTCCGCCCAGTCATTTTTTACAGGAGGGCTTTTGACTGCCCTGTCATTTTCGTTGGAGGGCTTTTGGCCGCCCTGTCATTTTCACAGGAGGGCTTTTGTCCGCCTGGTCATTTTCACAGGAGGGCTTTTGTCCGCCTGGTCATTTTTGTCGGGGAAGGCTTTTGTCCTACACTCGTACAAAATAATTGGTTGGAACTGTCATTTTAGTCGGTAATATTGAAGACCACAATTTATTCCAAAGAACCCCTTGGCGATAAAAAAAAACACATTTGTATAAGTTTTATTGTCCATGAAGCAACCGAGATGTCATAGATTCGAGGTTCGACCTCAACTTAAGATGCATCTTAACATATTGAGATTAATTTAAGAAAGATTCAATTATAATTCAATCTCAGACTTCGGTGTTTGCCTTTCATGCACGTACAAGCCTGTAGCCTTATCGGTATTACAGGTTTAATTCTATAAGTATTATTATTTTGCCGTAACCAGATTACAGTTTTACAAATTTCACTGAGGCAATCATCACTTTAGGTCACGTATACAAAATATCAACCCTTAAAACTTAGCAGGCGCCCAGATCAGAAATTGTTTTTCGAGGCTGTCTTTAATGACGGAAATTGCTCTAAAAGTGACTTACATTCTGACAGAATATCAAGCTCAATCTTTCATAATTATTTTTTATCCGTATCGTATCGTACCTTTATCCACAACTGAGGTTTTATATTGTCATTTTGCACACGTAATATATTTCTCATGTCAGAAAGAGAAACTTTCACCGAAAAAAGCTTTTATTGACACGCAGTTACAGGCCAAAACAATAATCACTACGACCAAATTTGCCCATGTATATTCGTAATTTATTATGATAGGCGTAAGGATATTTTTTATATTTTCATGTTATGTGAAATGGCATTGAATTGATGGACTTCGTTTGATTTGAATCAACGTTGAATGTGTGTCATTAAAAATTGTTTCTCCGATGCACCTATCGCATTGATAACTTTTCCATCTTGAAAAAAAATATGACAAATGAAACCAAAATTAATTTACCATGTAAGCCAAGCAACACATCGGTGCAGAACGAACCGACTATGTACTTGTACTTATAGCTGACTTACTTCTTACTTTAAAATTTTCTTTTTTTTATATTCCCAGATTGATAGACAGTTTTAAGAATTGCAGCTTGAAAATGACATTTTACAAATTCAGCAGGCTAAGTCTAACCAGTGTCAGAATTGCCGGCTGCTTAAGTTTAATATATTTTTTTTCTTGCCGCCAATCACATTACCATTTCATAAGTCGATGCATAATATGTGGCAAAAAGCCCCCAGGATAATATTGGCAAACAAAAAATGTAAAATTATCTCCCATATTTAATGCATATAAAACGTTTTTCAAACATTCATGTTCTGCAAAAATAGAATAATTCTCTCATAACCATTGAATGAAAAGTAGAAATAACTTTAAACTAAAAATTTTCCAAGAAATTAAATATGCTCTGTAACACCGCACTTTGGGGTCAAACGCACTATGGGGTTCGACCCAAAAGTGCGTTAAACTTCGCACCGCACTTTGGGGTCCAACGCACTTTGGGGTCAAAATCGAGAAATTGACCCCAAAGTGCGTTAATATGCTACATATCAACGCACTTTGGGTTCAAGAGGTCTAAAGGTGTCATCTGAGTTCTGCTTAAATACTGAGTACTGATTTATTTTCAATCTGCGACATTGGAATATTTGAGGTGGAGTTCAAGATGGCGGTCAATACTTTATGATGCTTAAGTGATAAAAGTTTCATTAATTTTACCACTTGAAATATCTAAAAATTGTGTTCATATATAAGAAAATTACGGTGGCATAAAAGTGACATTTGCAATTTTTTGTTATAAGTTTTGTATGCATATTTTATTTTAGTTTCGCATACATATTTTTTTCAGTTTTGCACACATATTTTTTTAGTTTTGCATTCATATTTTATTTTTGTTTTTCGTACATATTTTATTTTTGTTTTCCATACATATTTAAGCCTATCAAAACAGCCTTCAAATCTCATAATAGCCCATAGATTAGTTGAGTATAAAACTAGCACAGTGGTTTGGTCACATTTCTGCCCATTTTTGAAATCGGCCAATCGTTTTCCGGGGGGGGGGAGTCTGGTTTCGGCCGACCTTTTTCGGCCCACTTTTTCATATTATAACTATTTTATATAATATTGTTTATTATCATTATATACTATTATATAAGTGTCTATTTGGAAAGGGCTGTTGATTGGTGATCAGTTATTATTCCATGAATATGCACCACTCAACTCCACCCCCTGAGAATTGAGAATTATGAAACTTAGGTCAATTCTTTAGCACATCCAGATAATGTGCAGAACATATATGCCAGGTGTGCCCGGCTCAAGGTCGGGGTCACACCAACAGGTCAAAGGGTAAAGACTTGGGTTTCATGTCCGCTCCTTATCTCCAAAACCCCTTAAGGATTTTAAGGCACCTTGTGACAAATGTTAACCACATCGAGACCATATGCAGTACCTTTCTTTGGGTTACCGCGGACTATATCATATATTTTATAAATAAAAAAGAATATGTATGCAAAATTTAAATAAAATATGTATGCAAACTGAAAAAGAATACATTTGCAAAACGAAAAAAAGTATGTATTCAAAACCAAAAAAAAAATATGTACGACAAACAAACAAAAATTTGTACGAAAAAAAAAAAAAAAAAAAAAAAAAAAAAAAAAAAAAAAAAAAAAAAAAAAAAAAAAAAAAAAAATACAAATATACTTATATGCCAACGTTCAAAATACTCCAGTACAGAAATTGTGTATTTCTAGAATTAAAAGATGCTGCGAAAAATATCGCGTTCTGTCGGTCATTTACTTGATAACTTTGGGTGCCATATTGAGCCCTATTTTAAATATGTTGGGAATGAAATTAAATGCAGTTAGTATTTTTTTTCCAAAGATCTATAAATATACTCTATTGCAATGTTCTGGTGAAACATCAAGTTTTTCGATCGGTCTATAAATAGTGATTTTTACAATACATTAATAAGCTTATCAACAAACTTAAGGGTTTTTGTAAGCTCCGTAACAACCGTTCGCCAGAGGTTTTTTATGGGAAATCTTACATACTAGTACTTCTTTAGGAACAGCAAACATGAATTCTATAATGTTAAAACAATGGTATCAGAGAAATGTAATGAAGCGATAAATGTGAAATTATTTGTCATAAAAGAAGTCAAAACACTGTAGTATTTGACTTCCATATAAAATACTAATTCACTATAACTGTACTCATCATTGCCAAAAAGCAACAGATCAAAAAGATGGTTCAGGTAATTGGCCAATGTGTATTTTTTGGATAATATAAAGGAACATCAAAATGAAAAGGCTTTTAAGAAAAACAAATAAAAGCATAATGGGCCTTTAAACGGTATTTTTAACCCTCGGGGGAATCGATACCCCACAATCCCCTTTATACACCAAGTGAGAATTTTACATTATTCTGAAGCTCCACTCTAAATGTGCGACTACTTACATAGTTGATATTTTTAGTACTGCCTGGACGGACTACTACTTAAAGCCGCAATAGGGCTCGTATACCTTGTCAAGTTTCTTATATGTCACATTTAGCTGAATTAATGGCTCTTTCAACATATTATCAGGCACATTTTTTACTGAAATGTCTTACTAAGATTTCCCAGAATTTATACCTTTGTCTATGCTAAGACTATCATATTTCTATAAAAAGTGGAAACAAACGGGAAAATAATGCATTTAGCTAAAAACAATGGAGTTAATGAAAGGTGTGCATTCTTTTAAAATAAATGGAAAATTTGAGAAAAAATAATTAAAAATTTGATACAAATTCTTTATCTAGTGATTTATTTTGTGAAAGTTCTTCACATACTAATCAAGATCATTTAAATCCCTATTGATTCTACTATAATTCAGGTCACATGTTTGTGTCTATTTAATACCTTGATTTTTGTTTACCATTGGCTTTGACTACAATCTATTATTTAAAACATATTGAACATTAATTTTCTATGACCCCAAAGTGCGGTCGTTTGCCTGATGTTAAAAAATGCATATGTACCTGTTTAACGCACTTTGGGGTCGAAATTGAACCCCAAAGTGTGTAACGCACTCTGGGGTCGGACCCCAAAGTACGTAACGCACTTTGGGGTCTGACCCCAAAGTGCGTTTGACCCCAAAGTGCGGTGTTACAATGCTTTTTTTAAAATTTTATAGCGAACTTCAAATGATAAAAATTGATTCCCGCTTAGTTTGCGTTACTATTGTTGTATATAAACCAATTTAAGACATTTCTTTGTAATTTAGCCACCTTAGCAATAGCTATAAGGAAATGGCATAACTTATGAAAAAGAAAAAAAATAACTTTGAAGTCTGCCCTTTACCAAAGGGGCAGACAATTTTTTGCTCCTTTCTCATAAGAGAGGGGAATTTTGTGATGCGTGTATGTGGTCGTACGGTCACTTTCCTTAAAAATATCTTCGATGCATGTATGTGGTCGCATGGTCGAATATCTCTTGTAAAATACATTAATTTCTAAAGTAATAAGTTACTTAAATTAAGAAGTGTTTTAAAAGCCTAATTAAAACTTAGTTATTTTTCTTAAGTAGTTTAAAAAGCGTAATAAGTACTTTAAACTTTAAATACTGATAAAATCCTAGTTACCTAGTTAGTTGATACTAAATACACTGTTACTTACAACTTCTAAGGTTTTTTTCTTCTTGCAATTAGCAGAAATAAACTTAATTACCACTTTGTAACTTTTGATAAATAGTTTTTAACCCCCCTCCCCCATTTACACAGTCCAGGTTTGGTCCCATTGTTTAGTTCACCGGGAACCGGTAAACCGGCATAAGGTCGCAGCTTTGCTTAGAAGAACCGGGACAAACCGTGGTGAACCTAGAGATTCCAGAACCATATTCTTTCGGCTTGTCGCTGGAGAACCACCGTATCCATACCGTGACAAACCGTAGTCCGGGATACGCGCTAATCAATGTCCATACAGTACGTTGTTGCCACGGTACAAATAGGCAGACTTACGGTACAGCCATGGTACATTTCGGTTATTGGCCAGTCCTGGTATTGCCGGCGAGTCCCGGTTATACTATTAGTTATAAAGATTATTGACAGGTTAATATATTGTCCTATATAAACGGTTGTTTGAATATATAACCCGAGCCACTAGGCGTTTATATACGGCCATTTAACATGTCAGGAATCCTTATGACAAATTTAAAATACAGCAAGCATCATTTTTAGAGAATTAAAGCGCGATTTCTTTATAAAACGACAGCAGCCGTTTATATTATTAATTATAAAGATTGTTGACAGGTTATATGGCCCTATATAAACGGCTATTTGTAAATATAACCCGAGACGCTAGGCGAGGATAATATTGGAAATAGCCGTTTATATACGGCCATATAACCTGTCAACAATCTTTATAACGAATTTATAATACAGCAAAGCATCATTTTTTAGAGACGTTTATATAGTTTTATATACACGGCTATTAAGAAATCTTATTTTTTTCTCTAAAAAATGATGCTTGCTGTATTAGTGGCTCGAGTTATATATACAAACAACCGTTTATATAGGACCATAAAACCTGTCAAGAATCATTATAACTAATATTATAAACGTCACGATTATCCAAAGAAAAGCGACGTTACAAACGTGCAGTATTATAAAACGCGATAGACGTCGTCGTCACGACCTCATGCCGATAACAGACAATTTATAAAACAAGTGAAAATACACTTTAAGTTCTTCTTTGGATCAATTATTTTAAGTAAAGAAACACGAGCATTGATTATTTATCAGAGTAGGAAAAATCTTCAGCTGATGCTTTTTCAGCTTCAGGTACCTCAACCTCTGTAGGCGTTGTAGGGACAGTTTTTCCAACTTTCTTCCTCTTTCCATAGGGTGGCATCTCTGCTATCTTTTTACCAAATGACTGCTGTCAACGTGGTCGAGCAGTTTTATTCTCATATACTTGCACCGGGAAGCATCAGCCATCACCTGGGTGACACCGGTACAAAAATTTTTGACGAAAATGTTGGGATGGCAGAGATCCAATCCTGTAATGGGAGTTCACTGTGGATGATGTTAGGTTTGCCATGTCCTTCGTTTAATCAAAGATGTTCTATTTTCGATCTTTAAAGATCGTTCAGTATGACATTATTGTTGTGTGTGCATATTTCTTGTGTTTTTGTTCCTTCCATTTGTTCCCTTACTTCAAATTTCAACATTTTCATATTTAAATGTCGTTTTGCTTAAGCCGATGCAAGGGCGGAGTGTACCATAGCAAATAGCACCACTGTTCATAAACAGGCTCAATCAAACCGAGTCTGCGTTCTGTGGGATTTGGTTTTTCTCTAATTTGGGAACGAAAAAATAGTAAACGGTATGATTTCAATTGTTTTTAGCGATCTTTATATTTCTATATAACATTTTAAGGACAGAAGGAGGTAAACTTCTTTTGATATAGGTGACAAAAAATGGTTGAAAAGTTATGAACCGTTAGGAAGTGAAATATCATAATTATAAAAAAGCAAAAATGCTCAGAATTACAGACAAGTGTAATTCGCTATATAAGACTGTACATTGTACTTTGCAAAGTCTTACAAGAAATTTCACTGTACAATCGAAAAACCGGGGCAACAGACGATTCCGTTGATAACAATTGAACTGTACGAGTATACATGTAGGTTTAGTGAAATCAATAGAGACAACATGTGGTTCTTTTATAGTTTCACAAATTTTGTGTAAAATCCAATTGAAGTAGATTGACATACATTGAGCAGATCCAGCTGTATTGCTTTTTAAAATGATGAATAACAATAGAAATGTTGTTTTGTTTTTTTGGTTTTCCGCATAGAATATTTCTTGAAAAATTGTATGTTGATATTGTTAAAAGTGTTTTAGTATCAATATTTCTCGAGTTCTTGGCCCGATGTACTTCCGGTAGTTAGAGAACCCAACTAATGGTCTTACTTTTCAATATAATTGCCCTCTTCATCAATGCACTTTGCCCACGTGTGCTCCAACTTGTTTAACCCTTCAAAATAGAACTCTATTTTGGTCCTTAAAAAACTCACTGAACGCCTCCATGACACCTTCATTGTTTTCAAAACGTCCACCACGAAACTTGGTTTCCAGTTTCGGAAACAGATAGAAGTCAGAGGGGGCCAAGTCCGGAGAATACGCTGGCACCAGAGTCCTTAAATAACCATAAATAAATTAAATTATACCAATATAAAACAAACTGCCCGAAACATTCTCAAAAAAAAAGGTTTTTTTTTCAGACACACCCCCGTATATTCTATCTTATATAATTTTCACATGGTATTGAACCTTACGATCTTAACCCTTATTTCTACAATTCGAAACATACAGACCAGAAATTTAGCCCAACAATTACCTTAATGATCACGCTTTACTGACCTTTTGGGATTTTTTATGATATACTCAAACAATATGATTCCTTATAGAAATTGTGATATAACTAAGTATCAAAATGAATAACTATGGTGGCTAATTTGTGCCATTCGTGTTTTTGCTCCGCTACTCTGCAACTTTAACTTGTTAATTCTCGACTTTTCGCTTGACAGGGTCGCGGGGCGAAAACACGAATGACAAAAATCAGCAACCATAACCGGCAAATAAATATTCATTACAGGGATAAATTATTTTATAAAATCTGACTAGCGGAAAAATCTCAGAATTTAAATTTTGTCCAATATTAATGACAAAATACAAAGTGACTGCCATTGTCTCTAAAATAAAATTGAATTCGTAATCAATGACAAAAAGTGAACTGACTGTCAATGTCTATAAACTTTAATTGTAAGCATTATTTATGACAGAAATGAAAGCTGAAAATATATTCATTGATTTATCAAACTCCAAATTTATTTCGACTGCGTGATGTCATTAAACTTAAATTTGCTCCAAGTATCAGCGGCAAAATTCAAAAGAGATTTGATACATACATGTATATTGTTTTTTCAATGAAGATTAACTTGCACACACCGGTTTTAATTTGATGCTTTTGAAACTGGGTTTAATCACTTCAAAGTATATAAATTATAAACACAACATAAATTTATTGTTTGTATGTGTTATTAAAAACGTTATAAATTCATTTTTATTTGCAGTTTATATTGTGCGTTGCTAGCATCATTCAAGTTATGAATGCTGAATGTGGCGTGAAAAAAGCCTGCACAACTCATGCTGATGTATGTATTGAATCATAAATTATATTGTATCTTATGTATTTGTGCTATTGTGTTTAAGGATAAAATAAGGCGTTAGCTTTATCATAATTATACATTAAACTCCAATTATAATGATACCGCTTAATTATATCGCTAATAACGATTATTTTCAAATTAGTTGTTACTCGGATATAACGATATCCGGTTATAACGAAATACCGCTTTTAACGATTATTACCAAATTGGTTGTCACTCTGATATATATTGATACCCGAATATAACGAAATGCCGTTTTTAACGATTATTCCAAAACTGGTTGTCACTCGGATATAACGATATCCGGATATAACGAAATACCGCTTATAACGTTTATTTTCAAATTGGTTGTTACTCGGATATAACGATAACCGGATATAACGATATAAATTCGGCGGTCCCCTGAATATCGCGATAAGCGGAATTTACTGTATTTCTTTTTTATAATGTTAATGTTGCCTGACTGTTACACTCAAATTTAAGATATTGAATAGAACTGTGTCGTTTAAATCAAAGAATAATTGTAACATAATTCGTTTGATCTACTTATTATATTTTATATGAAATAGAAATAACTATAAAATGTCGGATTGTTAAAATCGCTTTTGTGATAGAACGCCAAGCAATTTTTATATTCTCGACTGGGTAAAACGAAAGATATTGGCCATACGCGGAATTATTGCAATACTCTGTACAAAGTTTTGTTTGGTTAAGTAAATACTAGTAGATTATAACTTACTATTTTATGACTCAAGAGACAATAATACTTACTAAGTAACTAAGAAGTATGAGGTAAACATTCTGACAGTTACGTCATCACCTCATCACTTGCGTCTAGACTTTGTTTCCTCACGCGACACCTACTGGTTGGTGCTGAAAGAAGACTTTGACAGTGAGAAAAATACAATTTTCTAAACGTTGCTCAGCCGTTAAACTGTTAATAGATATAATTTTGTTCAATTGTCAATTTATCTATTATTCTCTTGATAAAGTGTCATCTTTATTGCAGTGTCCGGCTAAACAAATCTGCAATGGTGAAGAAGGCAACAAGCACTGTGAAAAATGTATGTGTACTTTGAGAAAAAAAAGTTTGATTGAATTTTATCATTTGTACAACAAGCACTAAGTTGGTTTTCAACTGCTCTACGCTTATAATTGATGTCTATTTATTATATACTTGTAAATGAAATATTGTAAACAAATATTTATGAAATAAATTGCGTATTTCTATTTTCATGAAATTTATGAAAATTTGATTAAAGAACATACGAAAGCATACATAGGCTACAACTTGCTGCTATTCCTATTAAGTTGACTAATAAATAGTTATTATATATTAAAGTTACAAATCCATATAAATTATGGTTCGCGTCATATTTTGCTTACTGGGCCATACATATGGTATGGAAGCGCATCGGTGACACAGTTAAATAAACGTACCTGGTATTTAAATGAACAAACGTTAACTTAGTGTTTAGAACAATTACGAGCGGCATTCATTTTAACGAATCAATTTGAAGTCAATGAATCTCATTTAAAGCCAAAAACATTAGAACCATTCTATAAAAAATGTTGTGCGCATGTACCGCTTAAAAAAACGAACAATTATCATGAGGTTAACAAATCTGTAAAAGGAAAAACTATCGGATAATATCGTTTTAAAATAAAATACATCTACCACTACGAACAGATCGTAACATCTTGCCGATTATTCCTAATTTGAGCTTATTCAAAGACTGACGGAAATAGCAGATATGTTGCTATTGTTCGACCAATCAGAAATTCATATTCTCGACCAGTTGAACAAATAAACAAAACTTCCAGAGCTGACAAAAATTCTCTCGCGTGCTTTTTTAAAGAAGCAAACTTGTATTTTTTGTTTTATTTCAGGTCCATGTAAAGAGAAGAGTCAATGTTTTATCACAAGCCCTACAACCACTAAATGTGTTTGTGACGATCCCAATTTCACTGGCGAGTTCTGCGACTGTGAAGTAAAACAGCCAAGTAAGATAGAATCAAACATTCTCTTAGACAAATTGCTTTCACAAATTACTTAGTGCAGAGGTACTAGTAACCGCAGCAATTTCGTGGTTTCGCGTGATAAACTTTGAATTTTTACAGATATTTTCAACAATTTTCAAAGAAATTAATACTCAACATGTTCACACGGAAAATGATTAGCCTTCGTTACCATTATAATATCTGACAAGTCAGCACATCCGGGCAGTCTGGCCAGGTTTTGTATGGTTGGTGACTATTTTAAATTGTTTTTTTCCCTGTCTTACATCCATTTAATGAATCAATGCTAATCAATGAATTGTTCCAAATTCAAAACAGTAAATGCAGTGGTTAAGGCCAAAGAATAACGGTAAATAAAATCAATGCTGAATAGACGAATTACAAAACAATCAATATTTTATTTTCAGGTTGTAGTCCGCATAACATCACATATATAGAACTAAATGAGTATGAATATTCTGGAGGATCAAACCAAGAGGTCACGGCAAGCAACAAAGACGGCTGCAAGGCAAAGTGCACACAAAGCATTGACTGTATGGTTTACCAGTTCGATGGAAATCTTAACAAGTGTTACCTCACAAGTCCGCAGCCATACTGGAAATTATTTAATTTTATAGAACAAATTGAAAGTGAACTATATCTTGGAATTAAACAAGGATGCACGGCATAGATTGTTAACGAAAATCATTTCTAAAAAAACGTTATTTATCACGATACTCCGTCATGTTTATGCTGTAGTTATTAGAATATACAGAGATATTTCATTTTCGTGTGTATTTATTTTGTGATTTATTGATGCCCCATCAATTATGGAACTAAAACATCAGTTGTTGTTGGTTTGACATTCAAAATTTCACACAAACACACACGCACGCACGCACGCACCAACACACACACACACACACACACACACACACACACACACACACACACATATCTCATTTGGATCACCTCATTTCGAAAGAGATAATTGTTTGAAACAAGTTAAACGAACAATGGCAATTTTCTTCACAAATTCTAATGGTAAATTTAGAGCAGTAAAATGTTTGCCGAGGAAATTAATATAAATGTCCTTGCAAGTTTGATAAGTAAAAAACTAGCTGTTAACAACTAGACCATCGTGTCTCAATTTTTTTAAATTAGAGGGAAGTGTTAATTGTCTACATGCCTGAAGTTCCCCCTTTCCCCACCCTCCCTATATACGCCTTGAAGCATTCTATGCTATTTTAATATCGACTCCGATGTTTAACTTATTTATATCCGCCTGAGTTTGTTAGGGCGTATGTGTGCGCGCGCGCGTGTGTGCGTGCGTGTAGATGCGTGCGCGTGTTTGTTTGGTTGCTTGTGAAATGGGATACGCGGATCAAGGAGGGGGATAAGAAAAAATATAAATAACCACTAACCGGCCCTTAAAAACTTGTTTAATACCAACCATCCCTCTAGAGAATGTATAACTATTAATATTTCTCGACTCTTTTTATCTTCACTGTTAAAAATACCAGGATCCATTTTGTACTTGATCATTATGTTAGTGCCTTGAGTTTTCTTTGACATTCTTTTTGTTCCGCCTTATTTTCAAGCCACGTACCGAGATTGATTCTACGCTATTATATCGTAAAAAAGACAGATATTCTGTTTGAGAAATTTAAATAAAATGGTACATGATGAAAGTTAATATTGATCATGTGTGAAGGAAAATTAGAAAAGTCATAAATGCGTAGCATGTTACGTATCAATTTTTCATCTTAGCTGTCTCCAAAACCAAAATCGATGTCTGCTTAAACAAAGCTGTTACACATTTAATGTGTTTTTGATTGAAAACAACATTGTTATACATGTATGAACTTTTAATATACAATACGGTTGTAATACATGTATTAGAATTTAATATATACAGAATTTATACGCGGAAAAAATGCGAACAGGCAAAAAGGCCCGCGACTGCTATAAAAGCGCACTCAGATAGCATGTATGACATATATAAGTCGAATTGAAACCACAATTGAATATGCCTATACCTATCAAGTTCTATGAATGTCCTTAATGAGCAAGGCGCCGCCATTTTGAAAATCTACGACTGGTTCTTTACTTGAGCTTTATTTAAATTACCGGACGTTTTTGAAAACATAATAAAGACCAATCAGACGGTTGCTAGAAGACGCCGCGGTCTTCTATTATAAACAAGCAAATTCGTTGAATTTATATCCCCAGCCGAGTACTGGTTATTATTAACACAACAACTGAAGACATAAGGCTTCATTTATATATTAATCATGGCATAAACAGTAATATTCTTTGAACTTGATAAATATTCAGGGCAATAAGAGAGCCATAACTTTGTGTTAAATAGTAAAATCTGGAAATGCCAATGAGATGTATGCATACTACATAACTAATCAAGGGCCATAAATCTGAGTTATAAGTATCTGACTGGAACAAGGCGACTATATGCACATCTCCTCTTAGTATCCTATAAAGTTTCATTGAAATCAGCCAGTAGTAGCAGAGAAGTAGCGAGGAAACAAATATTTTTCTATATGGATACTGCATAACTAATCAAGGGCCATAACTCTGAGTTAAAGTGTCTGACCGGAACAAGACGACGATATGCGCATCTCCTCTTGGTATTGAAGGTTCCCATAAAGTTTCGTTGAATTCCAGCCAGTAGTTGCAGAGAAGTAGTGCGGAAACGATTTTTACTCTATATGCATACTACTTTACTAATCAAGGGCCATAACTCTGAGTTACAGGGTCTGACCGGAACAAGCTGACGATATGCGCATCTCCTCTTGGTATTGAAGGTTACCATAAAGTTTCGTTGCATTCCAGCCAGTAGTTGCAGAGAAGTAGCGCGGAAACGATTTTTACTCCATATGCATACTGCATAACTAATCAAGGGCCATTACTCTGAGTTAAAGTGTCTGACCGGAACAAGCCGACGATATGCGCATCTTTTCTTGGTATTGATGATTCCCACAAAGTTTCGTTGAATTCCAGTCAGTAGTTGCAGAGAAGTAGTGCGGAAACGATTTCTACTCTATATGCATACTACATAACTAATCAAGGGCCATAACTCTGAGTTAAAGTGTCTGACCGGAACAAGCCGACGATATGCGCATTTCCTCTTAATATTGATGATTCCCATAAAGTTTAGTTGAATTCCAGCAAGTAGTTGCAGAGAACTACTCCGGAAACGATTTTTACTCTTTATGCATACTACATAACTAATCAAGGGCCATAACTCTGAGTTAAAGTGTCTGATCGGAACAAGCCGACGATATGCGCATCTCCTCTTGATATTGATGATTCCATAAAGTTTCGTTGAATTCCAGCCAGTTGTTGCAGAGAACATCTCCGGAAACGAAATACGGACGGACGGATGGACGGACAACGCCAAAACTATACCCCCCTCCCGATGCCATCGGCGAGGGATAATTACACTTCCGGTAGTGGAATCGGAAATCACGGAACACTTCGATGATAGGTTGAACATCAACAATTCATTCATATCTATTTCACTCATTTCATTAATTAACAAGGAAATATTGAAAATTTATACTTGTATTTAAATCATAAGAGTTTTTTGAATCATAGGTCGCACCTAATTTTTATATCATTCAATACCAAGTAAATGCTTGGCCCTAATAAACTCGTTTTACTCAAGCCAGCATAAACATAATTTTTGATTTAGCTTTAATACGTAAAATATAGAAACAAATAATAGGAAAATGCAAATCATTTGCTCAGATAATGCTTGGTATGGGACTCAATAACGTGAAGATGGATAACGCAACACCTCGACAAACAATAAGCTCCGACTTTAAACGTATAAAAAGTAGTGCTGTAAACATAAACAGATCGAGGGTCTTATATTTTTACAATGGTTAACAAATGTATATATTTCACATCCGAAGGAAAATATTGTCTGTTTCGGAAATTTTTTTATTTAAAATAAAGTTTCCTTTTAAAAGGAAAGGCTTGCAAAGTTGTGCCTTCATCCCAACCCTTTAAAATTGTTTTTTTCTTTGGTTTCAATTTATTATCACATTTTTTTAATTACGGTATTTGTATATCATAAAGGGTTTATTTAGTTGTTTTTTTTTTTTTTTGGAAAACCGAATATTTTTTGTCAAAACGATTTGAAATCTATTCTCTATTGTATAAAACTAATAAAGAAAATGATCAATCGTAAAAATACTAACGTGATAGTGAAGGAAAACAAGTGTGCACATTTCATTTCCCCTTTTTCGCAGCGAAATCATTCCTTTGCTTTATAGACAAGTAAATGCACTAAAATACTTCGTTACGTGGTACCAATTAATAAGCATGTATCAACTATGTTACACAATTACAAATAGACGATGCGCTATCTGTAGATCAGCACGTGGCAAGGTTAATGATATGCATGGGCTATTTTTAGATTACCTCACCAAGAAGTTGAATTGCGTTCAGTAGATCTAAATATAACTCGATCATGCGTGATTTGGTAAGCAGGACCACCCTTTGAAGACGGAATACTACTACAGTCACCATTCTCTATTGTATAAAACTAATACAGACAAAAACAATTATAAAAGAAACTAACTTTTGCGTCTTGAAAAACAATTGAAACGGAACAATTTCGTTTATAATTTAATACGGTTTAAACCGATAAATCAAGTAAAAATAGAAATCCTATTTATATAAACAAACTGGGGATTACCGAACTAAAATAGCTTAGATTTCCGTAATATTACTTCGTCTGATTCCGCAGTTTGACGGAATCGCCCGAATTGTCACGATTGCAATCGGAACTACATCGGCTATTATCATTAATCCGAAGAGTGACGGAAAAGGCCGAAAAGTTGCGATTGGCACGATTGCAGCTGGTTTCCCGTTCAATCATGCACCAACAGATGTAAGCAGGAAACCACGTACCTAACCGGAACAAGTTTTCCAAATGAAATGGCTTGCGGCTGCAAGCCATAAAAAAGACTGACACTCGTAATCAGTTTAAGCTACACACTGATTTGCATTTGTAACCAAATCCGGAATAATGGCAACAATATACATTTTGTACTTTTGGTTTCTACAACCATAATGATAAAATATATATGTATAAATAATTTACTGCTGGCATGATATATTGGAATAAACTTAGTCAACAACCCCAAGTGTAAGTGGTAGGAACTAGGACTAGGATGAGCACAGTCATTTCTGATGGCATTATACACGAAGCTAAAACGCGTAGTTTAAAATCTGCAAATATAGTTCTTTATAAATATGCTGCGAAGAAAAACATTGTTTGGTGTTTGGGAAAAAAATTAAATGCGCAGCATCTGTTACATAAATCAAACGGAATATACGATTTGGTATGCATCAATGTATTTTGCTTTTAACTGTTTGAATATGAGTAATATGATACATGTAAACAAATAAAAGTATCTATCGTGCAAACATCAACATTTCCAATATTGTGAACCATGCCACCAATTTAGAGCCAAACCAGCCTTAAATCAGTTTGACCAGGCTCCATACTGTTTGCTGACTAGGCTCTATTTACTGTTGGCCACAGGTGCTTGAAACAAACTTTTTTAAGATTTATATGGGCTATCTACTATAATAAGATCTAAGGTCTCCAACAGAACAAAAACATCATGCTGAACAGACAAGAACACTGCTGCAAGAAACGACCAGATCACGGTTATCTCTTTTTTTCGACATTCGAAAGGATCAATCCAAGCGTAAAATCTTTTTAATTCATTAAAATTCTTCAAATAGCAAAGAAA